CTTAATACATAAATACTAGGACTGTGGGAAAAAAAAAATGGGTCTGCCTTCAGTATGTGTGTATACATATATATATATATATATATATATATATATATATATATAAATAAAGGTTCTGCAAAGAATCAAGCAGACCACACATACACATATATCTGTCTATGGTGCAATTACATCAATAACATCTTTAGCAGCTCTACATCATATATGGTACCAGAATAGCTGAGCTGCTGCAGATATTTTGTGATGTAGAAGTAAAACTCAGTATGATTTTCTGTGTCACCATGCCAACTGGCAGTGTCTTGTTTGCAGAGTTCACATATGAGTGCAATTTTCTTTCATTAAAGTCCTTTTCTGCTGTGAATATGATTTAAAAATTCTTCTAGCTGCAGTAAACTACTTCAGGGAAATTTGAGGGGGTCTGGCAGAAGACTATGCATGCACATCTGCATACCTCCTGTTGGAGGGGCAATCAAAACCAGACTCTTTAGCATTAAGATCCCTGTGACACATTAGCAAGTTAGTAGAAGTCTATACATCCACTGAGACTGAATATTAAAGATCCTCTGGCTTTACTGGAGTGACTAGTCAAGGGATTTTAGCTCACCCATTAATATCAGCCAGTACAGCTTGCTTACCCTTATTACATGCCTTAGACACATCTGTGCAGTGCCTGCTGTCTTCCCCCCATTCATTTTGGGATCACATCTTCTCTGTAGTAAAGGGAAACATTACCTCATGCAATAAGAGCAGTATATTTTGGGCTCACACATTAGATAATCTGATTTAAAAGTGTAAGATGTATGAATTTTCCCTTACCATGCCATTTTTCAGTGAATCCTGGCCATACACACACAAACATGCACCACTAGGAGAAATTAAACTCTGGACCCTCACACAGAAACATTATAGACTGTGGTTACCAGAGAAAAGGCATAAACCAGCAGTCCCTGTATAGTACTAGGAAAATTGTAAGAATAAACACTAATTGGTATATTGCACTCACGGTTTGGTTTTTTTTTTTTTCCCTTCATTTTATTTTCCCCTCAAAAGTAGTAAGGGATTTAACACTACCTGGAATTGATCTGATCCAAATTCAGATGCCCCACCCTAGCACAGGTTTTAATTCTCCTTTGTTCCCCAGCTGTCCCTAGAAAAGTTCATCCCTCTGCAAAGGACCACAAGACTGTAATTGTGTCACAGTATGGTAAAAAACATTCTGTACTGAGGACTGAAGTTGCTTGTACTCTAGTCCCAATGCTGGGCATGACCAGTGGAGTTGAGGTACGGTCTGGCTCTTGTACTTAAGCACAAGGCTGGTTCACATTTATCTTCCAGGAATCTCCCCATTTCAGCAGGATGACAGTGTGCCCTTGTGCAGTGCTGGGAATCCAGCATGGGGAGAAAACAAAATATGTGCATTCCATAATGTTCATGCTGTGAACACCATTATGCATCTCCTGGCAAAACTGATTGCTGCTATAGAAAGAATTAACAACTGAAACTTAAGCATTCTCCAGTAATCACCATACCATCAAATATGGGAAGAGGAAGGACTAGTGTTAATCTGACATTACCAACATCAGCCTTTCAGTATCTCTTGGTGTTATGGGCTCACAGAGCAGGAAAAGCAAACATACAAAGATGATGACTGAAAAAAAGAGAGTACACCACTGGGTTTCAGGTGGTATGAAGCAGGCAGCACAGAGGGATCTTCCATTAGAAGCAAAGAACTAGCCACAACATTTACTACAAGTGTTGCACCATCCTCTTTGATTCTTCTGTATTCTTTCTGATTTTTATTTGGACACTTTCGCTTTGATCATATTTGAAGGTTCAATCTCTCACCCCATGGAAATTCTGATACAATTCTTATTAATTAGAGTAATGTAGTTAGCAAGGAACCCTTAGGTATGAGCTCCCATGACCACACAGCAACTGGATCAACTGCACACATCAGAAACATCTCTGCTGATGCAAGTACTTTGCAAAACAGAAAAAGTATGAGGGCCAGGGGTAGAAGCAAACTTCAAAAGCAGATTAATCATAATTTCAAAAAACCAAGAGCACAAGTTTTGTATAATGTATGCCACTAAGGGTTGATGAAGAAAGTGCATTTTCAGTGATGCAAAACAGTAGAACAAGATCTAATATATTTGTGAATGGCAATAGTAATATCAGCACTTTTTAGACTAGGCTGTCCAAAAAATATTTTGACTGCAGTACAGATAGAAAATCCTATGGTATGGCATATACATATAGACCAATGGCAATAAACCACATAAAAATATACATCCACTGAAAATCAAGCAGAGGTGAAAAGGCCAGAGGCAACAAGGGGCTTTGATTTAGTGCATTTAGAGAAAATGCATTCTGCCTTCCAGTTTAAAGAGCATGTGCACAACCAAAGACACCATTACAGATTAATCCAACAGAGAATATCAGCAGTATGATGGCTAGAGTTATATATTACAGATCTCAAAGCCAAAGAAATTCTTTGCATAGCAGTACTGTCAGAATTGCATAAGTTCTTGCATGCTAGGAAATATAGGCTTGGTCCAGAAATAACAAAACTCTTAAGGCAAATGGCCTGCCTGCTGGGTTGTTGTAGATCTTTGCTAAAATGCTGTTGAAGCCATTTGGATACAAAATCCCAGTTTACAGAAACAATTGTTTAAATACATGACTGGAGAAATAAATTAGTGCTCTGAATGCTCTGGAACATTACATTACACTGGTTGCCAATTCTTTGCTATATATAACAGCTAACTCCCTTACAGTATGCGTAATAGTGAAAGATAACCGTGTTGTTGCTGGAGAACAAGCAAAGTTCACCCCTTCAGCAACATTTTAAAGATACATAAGAAGTCTATCCCTAACTAGAAAGACAAAACGTTTAGTGGAAATGTACTCTGAGGAATGATATCCAGAGGTTTTAAAGGAAATCTTTTTCTACTACTCTTTCTGCCCCTAGCAGAGGCTCGGAGTCAGGTCAGTTTTCTAGCCTTCAGGTGGCCAGTTATGTTGCATATGTAGATAAGGTCTGACTGACTCCTCTGTGTGTTTCTACCCTGCCACGCTCCTCTAAAAGAATCATAGGGAAAGATTATGGCTCTGTCTCCCAGTGTGAGGGAGAATGATGCTTTCTGTCAATTAATTACCAGCCAGATGATTCCTAGTGACATCCCATTTCAATGGGCAGCTGACAATGTGTGTACAGGGAGTTTTGCATTTATTTCAGTACTAAAGCCCTAAGACTCTCTGCAATAAAGTGTCTTAGGCTTGTTCTGACCACAGGTAAGACAAACCTATATCTGCATTAAAACTTTAGACAGCATATGAAGGAATAATATTAAAAACCCATTTTAAAAACAGGCTTATAAAACTCATCACTTCCATAGGTGACACCAGGGTTAATAGAAAGGTCAAGGTATACTCAGATCATCTGTGGTTCTTGCATGAGTTTGTGTGTGTGTATGGAGTCCTTTGCTTCAGAGCTTCCAAGATAACTATATTTCTTTGTCAGAGGTAACATGGGGGAACCTGAAAGTCCAAAGGAGCTCTTTCCCCTATAGGAAATAAGTGCAATAAAGCCATTACTTTCAGTAATCATAGTTCTGGGAACTAAAAAATTCACCACAGTGCACTGGCCCTGTTACGGGTGTAGTTGAAGAGAATATTTAAAGTGTCATTGACAATTTTCTAAAATGGATATGCCCAACTAGCCACCTGCAGACCAAAATCCTGTTTTGATAATTTTGGGCATCAGAACCGATGTCTGTAATTAGACGGACACAGAAAATCTTGACAAAATGGACTTGTCCTTGACCTATTAGTTTATTTCAAAAACCTTCTGTTCATTAAACTTACATACATCAGGGAATGTTGTAGATATTTGATCCTTTCTCTGGTACTCAATGATGTGATATATGTCAAAGGCGATCAAAGAAACTGAAGGGAACTAAAGAAACACCTTCACTGACTGATCAAAAGAAATGCTTTCATAGTTACATACTTCAAACAAAAGTGCACCACCATTTTTCAGAACAAAACTGCTTAACTTTACCATGAAGGTAATTCAAAGTAAAGTTTTGTTACAGTCAACACTGACTAAAATTAAGAACCATATTTTTTTACAATTCTATCATATTACCCTTTCCTCAACCTTAGGCATTTAAAGTTGCTCAGCTACTTAGGCATTTAAAAGGTCAATTTGCAAGGCATTTTGGTTTGCTGATTTCCACAGTTAGCTAGAATCTTAATCCATGGTCCAAATTCACTATGCATCATCTCTAATTTTTCTAGTTCTAAGGAATTTAATGGAGTGCAATCCCTAAATTATGGCAAACAGGCAAATTGATAGTACTCTTGATTTTTTGCTTGAGCACACAGATTTTTCTTCAAGATTTTCTTCAAGATTTTCTGTCCTTGTATATTTTCCAGTAATAACTTTGAGATAATGTCTAAGTAAATTTTGATGAATTGTTGATCTGTTTTAAGCCTTCATATATTGTTGTGAGTTTTTCCCACCACTCACACCTAGAAAGGACCAGAAAGTCTAGATTGGGCAAATAACTCTGAGCATGTTTTTGCCATGCAGGCAGCCACAATGGCATGATAAGGTGAGATTTATGGCTCTAATGCCTGCTTGCTCCAATACTGGCATGCCTGAACAGTTACTGTTACTACCATACAGGCTATATTGCTCAGAACATATGGCAGAGGAAAGAAGAATAAGGCCCTGAAAGGAAGGAAAAAGGTGTGGATTCTCAACATGACTGGAGTAGGACAATAGATCACTATCAAATTAAGCACAATTAATTTTCCCTATATTGCCACATATACAATTCACTAGGACAAAAGCCTACACTCTCTCTGAAATCCTTTTTACATTCACATAAGAAGATGTGCACATTAATGGATCCTGGAATGATTTTTGAAATTCCTTTGAACACACTATGTTTTTCCAGGAGAAGAAGAAATGTTGCAAGGCAATATCAGGCTGATGTTGAAGAAGTGCCTCTTTACTCCTTTTAACCTAGACATGCTGTTTAAAGGTAACATTTATCATCATTACCCCACTATGCATCCAGCAACGGCCTAGAGAAGGGTGGAAAAACTCCAGGATGAGGGACATTGTCTTTCTGAAAGTTCAGCAAGAGTCTGGGCAGCATCCATATTTCTTTCATGCTGTGGGAAGGAACAAGCCAGGCTCTGTGCAGGTCATTCAGATGTTCCATAATACCGAGTCAAGTGATGCCAAAAACACACTTCCAACACCATGTGTCTAGGATTTTGGGCACCATTGTGATTATACCTCGATGCAATATTTCCGTACTAGATGCAGCTGGTTGCCAGAGTGCAAGTAAACTTCATAACTGACTGCCACGAGTCAGTCCGGGAGCAGTAAATTAGCAAGTGGCTCAGGCACTCTAGTCTAGAAGAGTAAAAAAGGAGTGTGGTGGCTGCAGCACTGGGAACAACGGTCCTTGTTCTCCTGCCTTGAGTGTAAACAAGTCCATTGTTATCTGACTTTGCCAAACCTCAAAGTATAATGCTAGAAGGAAAAATAAGTTTTACAGAATTGAGCATATACAACCCTTTTCTTCCCTTCATAAATTGTGTGTAACACTAGTTGAAATTACCTAAGTGTTTACAGTATGCTATATATATAATGGCACATTTAAGCTTTTTAAAGGAATTGGAACATTTCAGGAATGTCTCTGGTGCTGAAAAAGGCTAATGTATTACAAATCATATAGTATTTTAATTCAGAAAAAATATGTTTGGGTATTTTGACCTAGCATCATAAGGGTTAGGAAACTGAAAGAGGATGCCATGAAGCATGACTGATGGATCAGTCGAGCTAGTCTGCTTCAGATACATATTGTGCAAGGCATTATCGCTGCAATCAGTCACAAAAATGCATATTTAGTTTTTGTACATTAAATACTACACCTGTGAACCTATGTAAAAGATATACAAAATATAAATGTCATCAGGACTGTATATTTCAAACTTTTTAAAATAAACACAAATTATATATATATGTAGGCATATAGGTTGTAATTTCAATGTCAACACTAGCACAGTTTGTCTCTTCTAAATACAGACTGTATACTTCCTAGTCCAACACATGCACCTACAAACACATGATCATGCATACAGCTTTACCTTCTGCTGTTTGCAGAAGAGTCAGAATATACAGCACTATACATTGTTTCAACTCAAAATTGATTGGCAAATTGGGGGAGATGCCATTCAAAAGAAATTCCTTGTGAGCTATTACCAAAAAAACCGAGAAAACCAGGGGTATAGTTATTTTGTCTCAATAAAAACACTGAAGACCATGGTGATGATGACCTAAGATTCAAAACGCTTTGTCCAGCCTGTGGTGGGGGTCACTCTTGGACAAGATACAACAGTGTAGAACTGGCTGCTATAACACATACCAAACACAGTTATAATGAGGTGTAGAGCTTTCACAACACAGTCCAACCCAGCTCTGGGTTCAGACTACGGAGGTCTCTGACCGAAAGGAGACAGAGCAGTTGTACGCCGTTCTTCTCACAGCAGGCGGTGCTGAAGGTGATCTGGATGCCCATCTGGAAGGTAAGCGTCGATTTGCTGGCCGAGCAGGCCGGGAGAAACCCTTCCCACTTGAACATTTAGCTGGCACAGATATCTAGAACACAAAGGCAATTCCTTGCTTTAACAAGTTATGGCTTTTGTGGAGTGCAGCGGGAATGTAGGAAGGCATTTGGGGTGACCTCAGAACAGGTGGTCTGACGCTATTAAAAGGAGCACAGTAATGCGCAGAATGCAAAAGAACAGCTATTTCTATGTAAAGGGATTCTCACATTGGCTGCGGTTTAAAATATATGGAGGCAAGCGTCAGACACAAGGAAAGGTATAGAATGTTAAGGCAAGCCCAAACTGACATTCACTTCTCATTTCTTTTCATTTTTGGAAGTTTTTTTGGTCAATGAACACGGTATACTGTTCTAAATGTAGAACTCAGTCATTACTGAAGTATGGTCTACATACTTTTCAGGTATTTTTTGACAGATCCTATTTCAGTAGTCACATCTTGCTAAGAACTCTGTTTCCTTTAGGGAAATGTGAAGCTGTTTACACTTGGTAACAAATTCAGAATGGTTATGTATTAATGCAGTGTCATGTCTACATACAGAGCCTTATACACACAGGAAAACCAACAGATTTTGATCATAGGTACAGTGATGTAAATTGGAAAGAATGAAAATAAACCAAATGGCTTATGTTATGTGTAGTGTTTTACATCTTTGTGATGTGAATTCTGCTGGACCTAAAATGGCAACCTCTAATCAGGCAATATTTTACATTTAGTTTGTGCAGATAGAAAAGACAATATAAAGCGTGAGCCTATGGAGAAAAAAAAACCCAGCTGGCTTAGTAAAGTTATTCTGAGCTTGCATCAATGTAAACTTAGTCATTATCTAGTCACTATTTCTATTCACTGATGAAAATTTGTTTTCCTATCAGAAGTTCATTGGATGAAAAAGAAATCAGAAGCTTCATGTCTTTCTCTTTCTGTGCTGTGGTTAAGATGTGTCTGCTAAGCATGATGTTGCATCACTGCAAGGCTGTCAGAAAGACATGCAGAGGAAAATCTGCATGGTGGGATTCTCAGCTGTTTAAGTCCACATAGCTCCACTGAAGTCTGCGAATTTGTGACAGTTTAAAGCACACCAGCTGACAGTCTGAACCCATTTAAGTTTCTCAGCTCTAAACACATTTGTCTTCCCTTTTCGGAGATGCTAAGGGGCATGTCTCTTTGTGTTCATTGGTCAAGGAGCTCTTCAGGAAAAAAGTTTTTTTTCTTTCTTTGTGGCCTTCTACAGAACCTGAAACTTACAGTGTATTTTCAAATCCATCTGTTTCTCTTTTGATTAAGAATGTTGGCAAAAGCAGTATTTCTAAACTTCTGCAAATAAAATTCAGCCAAATAAAAATTAATTAGTCATGCCATACTCTTCTGTTTCTGTGAGACTACACTTGAATATATAGGAAAAGCGTGGAACAGAGACATGAGTAAGAGGGGGTCACTTTATTACTGGAAACTTTATGGAGCTTCAATACCCCTTTTCATAGGCAGTTCCAAGGAAATCCTGAACCGAGCAGCACCTTGGATGCTGAAGAATGCTATCTAAACTCTCTAGGATTTTGACATGACCAAGTGTGCTTAAGCCTTTAGGGAAGGCTTATGAAATAACTTGTTAGCGAAAGGAAGGAGGGAGGGAGTTAAAACCTGATTGCTCTTTTCACTAGTTCAATCCTTGAATAACTGCAATGCAGTTAAAATCTAGCTTTACACAACAGCAACAGAGATCAGAATCTGGCACACGTCTTCACTGGTCATTCTTACTTACATGCTTCTGCCCTCCCACCAACTCTGTTCTCTTCAGAGGAAATACTTTCGGATCCTGGCCTAAATTGTCTATTTTTACATAATAATTTACAATACCACATTAGTCTGCCTCATTTTAGAATCTGAAGCTTGGTTTGAAACTGAATTATTTTGTTCTTGACATTCTTATGAACCTTACCTCTGGTAACTTCTGTCTCTCTTTTCCTTGCTTGAGTTGCTGCCCAGTATGCCTGGCTGAATTCCTTGGACATTCTTGCTTTCCTTGTTCAGTCTGGAGCATTTCTAAATACTGACTCAATGTCTCACAACCCCCATCAGTGAATTCAGGATTTGCCCGTGTCCACTTATCTTTGCAGCATTTTGCATTACATGGAGAAGTGACTGTTGATTTTTCATAGTTTTTCAAAAGCTTTTCAACAACACCATAGTTCGACCTTGAGTCAGCTGAACGTGGACGACCGGATAAATTACTTGGTCTCCAGTCATGCTCGTGAAGCATGTGCCTATAACCACTAGTATTTGGAAGCCCATTTATTTGCTTTTGTTGTCCTGCTATTCTGATAGCTTTGCTGGAGTTGCTAGTTTCTTGCTCCTTTGCTGCAGGGAATTTGGGATTTGAAACACAAGATGTATTCACAGTTTCTGTCCTGCTAATAGCTGAGTCACACAGTGGATCACAGGGTTTGTGATCTTCTGATGCTGTTTGAAGTACCGGGTTTTCTTGTAAAGCATTGTTACGTTTATCTGTGTGAAATACAGTCCGGTTAAACTCATCGATCTTTGCTGCTAAAATTTCATTTCTTTGGGTCTTTCCTAAAGTATACCTAGAGTCTTCCAAAAGATCATTGTGCAGGGTAGCAGGGGCATAAAAGTCATTACTGTAATAAGGGCTGCTGTGAGACTTGGGATTTTGTTTCTGGTGCATCTTGTTGCTTTGGGCCATATTCCCATCTGAACAACTCTTTTGGGCTGACAGTGGGGAAGGTTCACTTCTACTGTCTTTTCCAAGTTTGCCCACATCATATGCCCACGTGTTGTGGCAGAAACTTGTTGGTACATAGCACTCATTTCTGGTTACAGGTATTGCAGCAGCTACCGTCACAGGACCTTTCACAGCCTGGCCTTCATTTGCACAGGCTGCTGCACTTTCATTCTGGTCTATAGGTGAAGGATTCATCAGTTTCCTTCCACTCCTACAGTCCTGAGCCTTGCAATTACTTTTGATGCCTGGATCTCTTATTGGTGCTTCAGAAAGCTGTACAACTGCAGAAAGTGAGTTTGTTAGGTGGCGAGAAGTGCTCCGTGGAGGAACTGGTGGAGCTTCTTTCTTTTGCCAAGGTCTGAAGTCTGTTCCATTGTCACCAGTAAGACCACCATAAGATATGTCCTTCAAAGCCTTGGTGGAGCTCATCAGATTCTTCCTATTATTCTGTTCCTCTGTTTCAAAAGCAACTGAAGTCTGTGATTCATTGCTGGACACATGGTTCATCTCAGGCAGAATAACTGTGCTTTGGGTTTCCTCAAATTCCCCCAGGAAAGGAAGTGACTTCATTCTGGAAATAAAAGGAGAAGTGTTTTAGGGATGAGCAATAAGGCTATTCCCCCAGGGGACCTCAGCATGGATTCATTCTCCCCCTGAGCAGGTGTTTTAACACTTGCTGCTTAAAAAGATTTGGGAGCCGTTTTGCTGCAGCTGATACACCCAACATATCTGAAACATTCATGAAGGATTTGAAGAAAGCTCAACAAAGAGAATCTTGTATTCTTTTCCCTTGCCACTAAAATTCTTTTTCTGAGTTTTTGTAGATGATTGTTTGTTTTCTTACCTATCCTACAGTAAGGACAGTGGGATCTTGTGAGTTCTAATGACTTCAGTGAGAGACTACCTGACTATGAACTGAATGAAGAAAGCTTTACGACACAGTGCATCCCTTGTGTAGGCTTACATTACACATGACAGTACAAATGTGCCTTTTGAGATCTGTTCAAAAATCACTTTTCTCAACCAGGATTTAGAAACTGTGCTGCAGCTATGAATCTATTTGCTTTAAAGATACAAACACTAACCCAGCTACAATAATCAATTAGTGACAGATATCCAACTGACTGAAGTCCCTCTGCTCGTTGGGAGTATCTGAGAAGAGCTTGTCACGATGCAGACTTCCATGGGTTCTCATCACAGCTGAGACAGTCTTTCTCAAGCTCTTTCATGGTGTGCACAGTCACACCACTGGTTCAGTCTTGCCTTCTGAGAATTTCTGCACAACTCAAGAGGAAGACTAGTGTTTAGCTTGCTAAAGGAGACCATGAACATAGAATTTTTAACAGATGGTGGAATGTTCATTTTACATACTTTACAGGATCTGGCTTACCATCTTTCCATTAGTACCAATGTATGATTGTTCTTTCTTCTCTTGCCTTCTTTGCACTCTTGGATTGTCAGTCCCTGACCCTCCCCCACACTTAAGGCTAGATCTGGGCTTGATATAAGAAACATCACAGTCTAACAAATCCATACAGTGTTGTACAGAACTGCATGGAAATGGGACCAGGGAAGACAGAAATATCTGTTCACTTTCCAAATCCTCTATATAGCCATTAGAAACAAGTACGATTTCATCTTGTATAAACACTAATTTCATTTTGTAGGTTCTATAGATAAACTCCATTTTGCTAGTAAAATGTGCCCTTGTATCATATTTTAGTATATTTCATTTGAATGTTTTATCCTGAGCACCAAAACACTAGGAGGATAGGAACTGCCCAACTACTAATAAATTCAACAACAAATCCCCTTTCAAAGTGAACAGGAGCACAGTCTCATTATTCATTTTCTTCCTCTAATATAAAGAGCCCAAATATGTTTTTACCTTCTGTGGTTGGACTTCTTTCGAATTTCCTCTTGATAGATGCATAATTCTTCACTGACTCTGGCAAGTTCTTTAAGAGCCTTTATAAAAATGAAAAGAGTCCTTAAATATAAGCCTTTTAAATATTATCTCCAGAATTATTTTGAAACTTGTGGTGATTTGCATTTAAGACTCACAGCAGAGGAGAGCGGCACAAGGAAAGACACAAAAATTGCCCAGGTTGTGAAGGGAGGTAAAGAACATGCTGTTAACACTCTTAAACAGTGAGAAAACATGCATCAGTAGCAAGCTGAGGAGGAAGTAGAGACAGTGCCTTGCCAGAAAGCTAAAATCAGGGAGATCAGTTCTTTAGGTTAACCTGACAGGCCAAAGCCCTCAGTATTTTCCTTACCCTTGTAACTGAAACATGCTCATACTTTACTTACTACATTGAGATCACCAATATAATTCTTGGCATTTTTCTTGGAAGTTCTGATGCTGAGGCTGTCTTCAGGTTCCTCACAGTTCTCAAAGGCCAGACTGTCCATTAACAGAGTATTGTTTCTGCTCTTGGCTATGGTTTCTTTACATTCGTGACCAGTTTTACTGAGGAAACTCCCTTTTTCCATCCTGTCATTTGCCACATTGTGTTGATAGTTCAGCTCCACTGTGTCACTCTCTTCCGAAGTAGGGGAATGCCTGGACAGCTGCAGCATCTTGCTCTGAATGGCCTTATCATCATGGACATTCATATTGCCCTCCCTTCTAAGTTTTACCTCCTGGTAAAGCTGAAAAAACAATAAAACCATCTATTAAATCATGGCAATGTGACGAACTTCATGGTAGAAGAACATATTCATCTTCTGCTTTGAATGATGCCTCACTCAGTAGCACCAAGTAGAAAGAATTTATACATGTGTCAGTAGAAAAGTGTTGAGTCACACGGTGTGATAGTTCACAGACTGTTATTGTCACAGGATGAGGAAAGGGCTGTTACCATTCACAAACTCTTTGCCATAGTTTTAATGTATGGCTTCCATCCACAGGATGGGATCAGAAGAGATCTCATGAGGTCAATGGCCCTGCCTTGAGTCAGAAGCTGTATGGTTGTCTTCCAAGTAGTACCAGCACACTGTGTGATGGACACAGCCCTGATCTGATGGATGGGGAGTGTGAGGGAATGTGAAAGGAAGGAGAGGGCTCTAGCTATGTTACAGCCTGTTAAGGTATATTAGTTTAAGGAGGGGAAGTGGATTCTCATCACATATAGCACCATCTGGACTAGAGCAGACTATTCTTGTTTCCAGGCAAGCGGAATTCTTCCCTGTGACTGCAGTGATAAGTCAGCACTGCAGAATGGTATTATTTGGCAACGTGCGGTCACTCTCTTATCTTCTTTCACGCTATCAGCTGAGATCCAGTGGCTTCATTAGTAAATGAAAAGGTGTTAATTCCTGTCACCCAGCACATTCAAACTAGAGAACTGTGATAAATTATAGATTAGAAAAAACAGCAACATCATAAAAACCTCTTCTGCTTACAGTATCATTTCCAGTGCCAAGAATCCCATGGCTCTTTATAAACATTCATTCTTAACTTGCTCTTATGAAGAAAGCACAGGGCAGGCACCTCTGAACAGCCATCTGCCTGCTCTCTTGCAGTGCACAAGGCCATCACAACAGCTTTTGGAAGGACAGTGAAAAAGAACAACAACATGAAGAACATGTGGCCATTTCATGGGTAGTGCTGTGGATTAGAAGTATTCTCACATTCAGAGATTTGACACTTGACCTCATTCTGGGCTTTTAGCTTTCACTCCCAAAGTCCAGCTGCTCACAGAACCTGAGGGCTGAAATTTGTCATTTCCAAGAAATGAGGGCCTCATATGGACTCAGCATAGCAGTAAGAAGGGAGGATACCACCTCATAACTGTCCTGGTTTCAGCTGGGATAGAGTTGATTTTCTCCCTAGTAGCTGGTACAGTGCTGTGTTTTGGATTTAGTATGAGAATAATGTTGGTATCACACCAATATTTTAGCTGTTGCTAAGTAGTGCTCAGACAAAGTCAAGGACTTTTCAGTTTCCCATGCTCTGCCAGCGAAGAGGTGAATAAGAAACTGCAAGGGAGCACGGCCAGGACAGCTGACCCGAACTAACCAAAGGAATATTCCATATGATAGGATGTCACGCTCAGTATATAAACTGGGGGGATGTTGACTGGGAAGGGCGGATCGCTGCTTGGGAGCTGACTGGGCATCAGCTGGTGAGTGGTGAGCAACTGCATTGTGCATCAGTTGTTTTGTATATTCAAATTATTTTATTATTGCAGTTTTATTATCATTATTATTGTTTTCTTCCTTTTTTGTCCTATTAAATTGTCCTTAACACATGAGTTTTACTTTTTTTTTTTTTGATTCCCCCCCCTCATTCCACTGGGTGGGGGGAGTGAGCGAGTGGCTGTGTGGTGCTTAGTTGACAGCTAGGTTAAAGCACAATAACTCAACAATATCATCTCCTAAACCACATTAAGTCTTCCTGGAGGAATTCAGGAATTAAGTTAGGTTTTGGTGGGCTAGAGAAAACTACTAAATAAAATAAGCTGATAAGGTAGCACAAGTTTTATTGAGGAAATCCCTCTAGAGATTATGGCATTTAAAAGGTAACCCCCCTTTTCTCCAGCCATGTGACTTTTGGCAAAGATATTTTCAGACAACTGAAATCAAGGGCAACTATAGACACAGATTTAGAGGTGATTTTAGGATACCAGTAACCTTGGGGTATCATTTGTAGTTTTGTCTGGTCCTGCAGTACCCAGCCATTTGCTTAATTCTCTTCCCCTCAGTCCAATTCCATTCTTTATCTCTTTTTCTGTCTCTGTCACACTTTCTTAATCCATATGCTAATAAAGAACATGGAAAAAACATGGTCTTCGCTGCCATTGTCAGGACTACTAATAGCCAGAATATCTTTTAACAACACATTACCATCATTCCAAAACAGCTTATATATACACCTAACAGGCTAAAGTTCCAACTACACACAGAGATCACATTACTAACTTTTGAAGCACTTTCACCTTGGCAGTGAAATTAGGTATGATTGCACAGAAATGTCCTCACTAAAGAAAAAATGAGGCAAAAGCTATCATACCAGTTTGCAAGAACAGCAGGTAAAGTATAAGGGAGCCGATATTATGTCGTTACGCTGCAGGCTGGTTTAACGGGCAGTGTATGGCTGCAATTCATTTGGCTCTGATCATTTTTCTTCTCATACTTTCATGTGAGCAGTCTCTGCCATACATTCCTGTGTTGCTCAGCCACAGGACGGTGTTGGCAGAAAGAAAGCAAAACTACTCCATGTGTATATTAGAATGAAAAATGTGGAAAGCTCAGTGGTGAAAAATCTTGCTTCTGTATGTTGCCAAGGCAGATTCAACTTATGCATTACAGTGCCAGAGGGTTCTGCTGCAGGGACAATCTGGGGATAAAAGAGTAATAAATAATTACCTTAACTATTTCTGGAAGATGTATTAAGAATGGAAGGGAGTGAGTGTTTGTTAGTATGTGTAAACACAAGTGGTGTCAGGGCTTTTATGCAGTTTACTATATCTCTTTTCTCTGCTAAAAGTCATCCATAATTGGAGCATGTTCTAGCCAGAATGATTCTGCATCATGCAGCATTTAATGTATGACGTTCTTCTTAATATTACCATTTACCCCAGCAGACCTATGCAATCTAATTCCTTTTTGCCAGAGAATTCTGATACCTAGATTTTTTTATTAGTGAATATGCATTCTCCTAAACCCCATACATGCAGTTATTCAGCATGTATTGAAAAAAGCATGTATAATATAGGCATCGTGGCTCAAGCCCAGCAGAAATGGCAGCAGTATTACAGCCAACAGTATCACAGCAAACTTCACGCAAAGTAGCATTTAACCTCCTGCATCATAATCATGACTATTAAATGAGCAATTGCAAATACTGATGAACCCCAGGTTTTTCAAACTGCTATTAGCTATTAGGAACTTCCAGTGACAGATAAGAAATAGGATATAATTCAGAAAAAGAGTGAATTGAAGTGATCGCTAGTCACTTCACTTCAAGTGAAAATATTAGTGTTCAGAGTTTTGTCTAACAGTACCTCTTCTATTTTCTTCTGCATGACCTTCCATTGACATTCCCATTCTTTCCTTTCATTGTCAAATCTCTCCAGCAATTCCATCTTCTCTTTATTCCAGTTCCTCTCAGTATTCTCCAGTTGTTTACGCAGGTCCATGGTTACAGTCTGTGTAACAGCAAGAAGATAGCTCTGCTTTTTTTCTGTCTTCCCTCAATGTTTCCTGGAAGTTTATCAGCATAAGTCTTACTTGTGTTTGATCCTATCTTTCAGGAAAAAAAACAGCCAAGTAAAACCCCCAAATAATTACCTTAAATGCTCTTCCGGAAGACAGCATCACACAATTGCATGATATATATCTGGAGTGTGACTGGAATATGGACAAACTAAGCATTATAGGACACAAACCCTAGGACAGAGAGGCCCAATCTGGAAAGGGGAGGAAGGACACGCATCCAGCATCACAGAACTCAGGAATGTCGGCCACAGCGGGCTCTATACCATCGCCACTTCGCACCTTTGCCATTATTCTTCACTATAAACCTGTTTTCAATGAAATTCGAGTCTGCATGACATTGAAGGGCACTTGAGGACCTTGGGATCCTGCAACATCTGATCTTGAGGATGAAAGCTATTTTTACATTTGTTCAAAAGACAACTGCAAGTGTAAAGGTATCGTGTTTGCTCATGCACTCCTTTCACATGTGCATGTAGCACAACAAGGAATGTGACATTCTTTTGGCAATTGAAGATTGTAAACCAAATACATGCAGAAAATTCATATGGCTATATGAATGCTTTAGAATACATAAACAGGACAGGAAAGTTAATAACAGCTAACAAACATACATATACAGTAGAAAGCATCATTCTACTATATAAAGGACTATAAGTCACTAGAAAGAGTTAATGTATTTTGGATTTACAAATCTAAACCTATAAATGTTAGTACCAGGACCAGCATAGGGAAAACTAGAAACTATTCTCCAATAGCACTAACTCAAATCTAATTCAAAACCTTGTTCAGAACATTTAACTAATTTGTGCTTCATATTCTCCTTTCTCTTCAGTAGTTTTTAGTATCTTAGTATCTGCAAATGAAAAATTATTAATTGACCCACTAAAAAGGTATATTTTAAGGGAAATATTTTAGATCTGCTCATCTGACATTGGAGCAAAACACTTACAGATTTTATGGGCCTGGTCTTCCTCTTGCTTTTTTAGGCTTTATAATAGAAAATCCACTATCATCAGCACATTTACTATGCCAGCAAGACCAAAATAACACTCGTTCATTCAGTTATGATGGCTCCTGTGGAATAATGGCTGGTACACACACATTGACATTTGAGTTTGTTAACTTTCGTTCTCAAAGCCAGCTGTTGTGTTACTTAGGTGGATGTGGAATATAGTTCTAGTCACAAAAGGTCTCTGCATTTCTTTCATCTCCTGCCAGAAACCAAGTGTGTGGGCAGGCAAATGAATTATCAGAGAGTTAACTAGGGATAAGCCCAGTTTACCTTCTTGGAATTGGTTAATTTCCGTGACTGATGGTCAGTGATTGTCAACTTAAAGGAACTGCTCATTTTATCATCCACATTTTCTTTGATATAGTGAAAACTCATTTCTGAGCTTCACACAAAGTTCTTCCCCATCCTGTATTTTATTGGACAAGTCTTGTTGATTCAGCTGTGGCTACTGCATAATCACTGCTTACCAGTGTCTGCATTATTTCAGCTGACTGGGAAGCTGATGCCAAACTTGGAGTCAGCTTCTTTCATGAACAAGTAAGCAGAAGAACTCAACTGAAGCCCAACAGGTTACTCAGATCTTTGGGTCATAGGAAGTCCTGCTACAGGATGTCTCAACTGACAGCCACCATGGATCCAATCATAACTCAGGGGTTGCAAAACATCAGGGGTTGTAAACCCCAAGCAATTGTGGAAGACTTAGGGAACAAGCTGTCAGCCCATTTCACAATGGTGTAACCATGTCACCATGCAACATGGTATTGGAGCTTACCCTTTCAAACCTGCTTTGGAGCTCTGAAATGGCAAACTGTCCCTCAGCTGTCTACAAACAGATTTCAGACCCTTCTCCTTCCACCTGACTAAAACCATACAAGGCAGCTTTACAAAAACATAAAACTCCTTGAAACTCAGCACTGCTGAAAGACAGCACAGCATTCCCATCACATTAGTCAAGCACTGGTTTGCTTGTGGCTTCTTAGGGAAAGCCAGGCTATAGAGACTGCACCTCTCCAGACCAGTGTTTCAGCTTTGTGCCTGACTTCAGTAAGTGTTGACCAAAAAGAACTTACAAAAAATTCCACTCCACTTAAGACATTAACATCAATTGTTAATGAACTTTAAAACCATTTCAATACTTTCACACTTTGCTAATTCAAAGTTTGCAATTCTTAGTACGGTCATTTGCCCTTTTTTTTTTTTTTTGCTACATTTATATCTTTATAACCTTTCAAGACATTTCTGAGAAATAAACAAAAGTCAACTCTCTGCTCCACTAGAATCCTTCAAATAAATGTCAGAAAGAAATAGAAAAAAATATAATCACTGTGAAGTCATGAACAAGACAGGCAGGCATAATCTGTCTACAACTTGCACAAAGGGTGATTTTGCCAGTGCACTACTAGTAATAATGACCACGCTTCAATCAGCAGCATGTTACTAGAAAGAAAGTCAGTACTACATAGCCTATTTTTTTTACATATATAAGAACAGATATATAATATGTACTCCTTTCAAGCATGCATATAGCATTGAAAAGGCCCTGGTAGTTTCTTAGTGCTGGGAACTGTTGTTGCCATGTTTGAATTCATCTTAACAGTTGTTTCATATGGAACTCTGATTATAAAAAGATATTGGAGACCATCACAACGAAATCCAGTCTTGGAATAAGTTAGTTACAGGTAGTCACTTTTAGCTCTAATATCCACAAAAAGCTTGTATTGCTTCTTATGCTTCTCTGATTTCCTTTTGACATAAATTCTGAGAAGAAAACTCATGTTTATTATGTTAGCAGCTGGATGACTATACAGATTTGCTGCTATTGTACAGTGGATAAATTCATCAGAGTTTTAAATCCTGTTTCTATGACTCTTTGCCATTTTTTTCCTTGGTGTTTGGGTTTATTTTCTCAGGGAGGATGTTGCTTATTTTTTCCCTATTAGCAATAAAATCCAATCTGTGGTCCTAGTAGCATACCCTCTGTCTGTATAGTGCACTGAGATGTCCCCATGGGTATTTCACAAGGCTTAAGCAACCCAAAGGGATGTAAAATGTCACATTATAATTTGCTGTGTGGATCAAAACAGTATCTGTACTCTTGTAGTATCGGCACTTTCTGCATGTCCTAGACAAGGTCAGAAGCTCATTAGAGCAATCAAATTCAAGCAAATAATCAATTTTGTCTACATAAGCTGCATTTTCCCTTAACTCTTCCGTTAGCCTTCCCTCCTCGCAAGTAAAAATGTTTTAAGCAACTATTTGATGTTAATGATATTATTCCCCCATGTCTTCCCCATATCCTTTCTATCCACATATTAAAAATGCAATATAGTTTGAAACCAACTGCTATCAACTTCTGAAAATAATCTGCAGTGATATCAGCTGCGATGCTATTTTTCAACAGAGATTAATTAGATTGGATGTGAACAACCGTTCATATACACATATAGTCCCTTGATTTTACAGGGAAAAAAGCAAATTTTATTTCCAACAGAGTGCTGTACTTTGTATGACTGAAGAAATCGCGAATTTATGTATTCATATATCTGTTCAGTTACAAAAGTGTGCCATGTGTCACAATACTGTGCACTTTATACACAAAAAGAAACTACAACGGTGAGAGTGAAAGAAAAGAGAGAGAAATCTGAAAGAGTGAAAGAACAAGAAAGAAGAAAGGAGGAAATAAAGAAAAAAGGAAGAGAGAGAAAGAAAGATTCAAATGCTCACAATGCTACCTGTCATCCTTGTACAGCTGATATATCTGTGCCTGCTCTGAAGAATCTGAGCTAATGAAGTCTTTCTCTAAGAATAAAGACAGTATATAACATACATGAATACCACATTACTTGTAAATAACATTAGAGAGGTATTTAAATAACTGTTTGCCACATTAGTAATTTGATTTCTTTTTTAATCTTAACTGTACAAGAACACAAGATTTAAAATAAACTGTAACCATACCTTTCATGGAATAAGAAATCCGTTAGAAGTTTTTCAGTCCATTTCTAAACAGCAGTGAAAGCAATGAAATAGCTAGCTGGGATCCAGTTCTGCGAATCTTGATCTTTAAAAGAAATAAGCAAGCTAAGCAAGACACAACCTTTCAACTAAGGCAGCATTTGCAACTCCCTTTGAATAACTCCGCAACTTTTGCAAACTGAAAAACAGTTCCGTTCAACATCATCCCAGCAGCTGGCTTCCACATGACGTCAGTGCATGGAGGATGGTTTTAAAGCCATCTCTTCCAACCCCCAGCTCTGTAACTTTATATCTCCTCATATTTTGTGTAAACAACTCCAAGTCCAGGACATTTTTAGGTTTTATAGTGCAGTCCAGTCTTTAAAGCTTGCCAAAACGGCTAGTGTTAATATTAAAGCTATGACAATAGGCAATTTTAGGTTTCTTTTATTAGCGTCCATGTTGTAAAGGAAGATTTTTGCTGCCTTCCAGACCCAGTTTTCAGGGTTATATTTTTTAGTATGATCATTTTGAACTTTGTAACCTGATCGTCATAAACTGCTTTGTAAAGGGAGTTTGTCTAAAGCAGCAGTTTTGTTAGTTAACAGCTATCTTAAAGAGCTAAAAGCAAACCACTCCTCCCTAAAAATCTTTTTCTGTTCTAAATATGCTATCACTTATGAAGTGCAGAGTTACTGGGCACTGTGTAATCCTACTGTCTTGCATTCTGAGACTGGTGCTAATGGTTTCTTTGGGATACACCCAAATATTCCTGCTACTTTATAAGGTTCCTGGATCAGATTCTCCAGTCTGTTAAGATACTTTGTGTCTCAGCAATGCACAGCACTTGAAATTGGATGGAGAATCTCCCTCGCACAGGGAAACTCATCCCTGGCATAAAGTTAGCAAGGAAGGTCCAAAACCACCTCAGCCTGGATTTAAAGCACTGGGAGTGCCAATAGCAAGTGTCAGTATGGGGTGAGGGAAGGGAACGTATGTGATAAAAATGATCCAGTAAGTGAAAGTCCACGGGAGACCCCAAAGCCACTGTAGTGAAATTTAGCTGCTCCCCCTGCTGAGCTGTGGGCACAAGGAGCTCCACTCTCTCCTTGTATCTCTACCCACCACACTAACTCTGCTGTTGCACAATGTGTTAAGTTGCTTTCATTTGGCACGCTGAGAGAGGGCAGAATCTTCATGCACTGGGTATTTGTGCTTGGATGTGCCTGTGGACAGCAAGACCACCCATAGTCAGAAAATTCACATTTCAGGGAATATTTGTCCCCATGTGTACCTGGAGAAGGGCCACAAAGTACTTACTCATGCAGCATAAAACTCTGGATAAATTCTGTCATCAGATGGGTGTCTTTGAATGCACTAAGCAGGAGTGACATATTTTTGTGGGCAGAGCAGTTGATGACAAGAGGATTGGTGAGATGGACACAATATTAGGATTCATGCATCCTTTGCTTAGTCAGCACTCCCCTCTTTAGAACAATAAGGTTTTATCTGTGATAAAATCCATGCACAACATAAAGATTTTAGCTCTGTGTGCATTTTATAGTAAACACCAAAGCAGGTTTCAGAGAAAACACATATCTTCTCCTTATATGGTCCAGCTGTAAGTCTCAGTGAATACACTACTGGGGAGCTTATTCTACTCCCATGTAACATGAATAATGGGACTTGAGCCATTTGTGAAAATTTCAAAGGTGGTCTAACATCTAACAAAGATGTCCAAGTACACAAACTGAATGTTCCTGAAGAAAACTTCCAGCCTCTAAACTCTGCAGATTTAAAAATTCTTTGTTCATAAAGCAACCGTGTGACTTCCTTTGGGAGGCTACATCCCAACACACCAGCTGACATGGCTGTGAGTGAAGCTGGAATGCCTGGGAGCAGAACTGAGCCCACAGCTGGAGGCCGGGTGCCACAGTGCTGCCTCCTCCCTGAAGCCAGCACAGCTGCACCACTGAAAATTAAGAAAGTTAATTTTCAGTTAAGACAGACAAACTGAAGACATGTTTTTTTACTCTTACCCATCAGCACAGGCTATTATTCTTGTTTCTTTAATATTGCTAACTCAATACCCCTCACCTTGTTATGTGAGCTCTTTGAAATAAAACAGAAAAATTAAAGAAAACAAGGGACTAAATCCCAGGATTGATTATTCACTCAGGCAAAATTCTACATTTCTGTCAGCATGAGGAATTATTAATGTGAGACCATAGGTCAAAGGGCCATGTTAAACTCATCCTAAAATGGGAAAGGCAGAGAAAAAGTTGGGACAAAGAAAACATGAAGTGACATATAAAAACTTGGGCTCTTTGTTCCAGACATCCTTAAGTGTAACAGTAGTGACTTTTGCTTTTGAGGAAAAAAAGTTATCCAACAGATACAGTCCCTCCCCCAGAAGCAGCAGACAAAGCAGCAAACGTGGCTTTCTGGCCACTGGCACAGGGAAAAGAAGCAGGAAAGCTATTGTAGGTTTATTGCATCTGACACACTGCTTCCACAGGCAAAGCGTACTTTGTCTACACCTGGTATCCGTTCTGCTTGCATTAAAAGTCAGCACCTCAACAAAAAAGGTGCAAGGGCATTTTCAACAAGCCCTCTGCTAAGCTTCATCACACAGGACAAAAGAGCACGAGTTTCAGCATAGGCTATAATCTGACTATGTACTCAGGGTAGCATGTATTTGGGTTAATAGCCTGAACTCAAGATAAATTTTGAGCACCTTTCAAGTACCTCTGTATGAGCTTGGTTATGGCACACCCATTTTGCTATGTCCACATAAATTTGGTAACAAGAAGGAGTAACAGCACTGCTGCCACTGTAATCAACCCAACCACAACATCAGATTCCTGAATGATAATCTTGGCAAATACATCTCAGGAGTGGATACATAAATCGGGAAATGGGCAGAAGGGAATACAAATTCTGTCTCTTCTTACAATTGTGCACTTCTGCAATAGTATTTAACTTAGTGGAGAAGCAGAACCAACAAAGCGTTATGTCATGTCATTTCTCCAAGGTTACATTGGAAATCGGTGGCAGATACTTTAGATGTTTACTTTAAATAGAGCCACTATAATTTTCCCCATAGGCAACTGCATGTGTAATGGCAAAAGTTGGGTTTGAATATCACTTCCCCTGGCATTAAATCAGAGACAGAAATGTAAGCCAATGAGAATTATGTCCCTGATACTGATGCCTTTAGAAGTCTCCTACTCACCTATCAAATTCTGGGGTGATTAAGGAGAAGGGCATCTAATACCCTAAAGCTCTGCTTGTTTTTGTAAACAACTCCCAAAGTTCATGTGCAGTTCATCTCTTTTTATAACGCATATTTAGACAGCCATGTTTCTGGCAATTTTCTATTTTCCGACTGCCAGGCATATTTCTGCACTATAGCACCTGCTCTCTTCTAGTTTTGATTCTGAAGCACTGGTGACATGTGTCAGCAGACACTTACTCTATCTCTAACTGGAGCTTCAGGCATGGATATTTTTGGCTGAAAGAAATATCTCTGATCCCAGAGAAGATGATCATTCTAATATCATGGGAATTTTTCAGTAACAGGAAAGAAAATATTTGTAGAGGTATTTTGTCAGGGCATTCAGAGATGACTCTATATAGGGAACAAATTTGATTTAATTTATCGGGTTGCATTAAAGGAAAAAATGCATCTATTTTCTAAATGACATAAAAATTCATTGGCTTTACTGCTGATTTACACAAGTGTAAAAATGTCAGAATTATACCTATAGATGCAATATCTCTTCCTTCTGAAAGAACGTGGAATTAATTCCTTGGGAACACGGGAAAGAGAAATTTAATCTTTCAGAGAAATGTAAAGTTAAGGCAATCTCAGGTTCAAAGGCAATGACATTTTTGCCAGACCATTAGTATTTCAACAGAATATTCCAAAATGGAAACTGTGAATCTGCTATTGGTTTAAGTGAGATTTGAACTGATAGGTAACCTGGCATATCCAGCTTGCTGCCACTAAAAGCAAAATCTTATATTCTCCTTATTATTGCTCTTCAGAATTAGATGCCATGCAGCAGACAGAATCTAGCAAAACAGCAGTGTTTTGCCTGGCTCTGCCCTGCCTGAGGCCCACACACTCCTGCCAGAAGATGAAGACATGTTCGGCTGCATTTACTCACTCACCTGTGAAGTGGACTTTGCCCACCAGGCCAGTAGCTTGAGTGGGGAGAAGGTGCTTGTTTTCTTGGCAGGTATAATTATTGCATTCTTAGTGAGCCCAATTTATCTCAATTCAGCAAGAGAGAACACTTATTTATTTGGCTAGATGTTATCTTCTGGCTATGGACAGATACATGGACATGATTTTATTAGCTTTCTCAGCAGCTTGTAAAATAGTGAAAAATGGGAGGGCTGTGAACTTCTCTGCAGTATCTGGTGCGAATAAGTGGCTCCCATCACTCCCTACAAGCCAAATGCAGAAGGACATGAAAATTGCATCTCATTTCTCACTGAGATTTCTCTGTACAGAGGTTTGCAGGGGTCCTCACCATTCCCCTTGCTCATCACAGATTCAAAGACTGTTGGGAGCTTCTAGAATGATTGTGTGTGCTTTGGTATTCTTTAATTTCAGACTGTAGCATGTGCAATAGCTCTCTAAACATCCCAAAAGGTCTCACCTTTGAATTGCTTTGTTGATGCCTGACAGAATGAGGATGAGGAAAGCTCCAGCTATATGCAAGAAAAACCACTATGAGAAATCAATGGGGTTATAACTGCCATCCTGTACAGAGGTTATCTCCACCTTTTCTCAAAAGGTTCAACCTCACCTTTTCTGTTTTCCAAGAAAGAAGCAAATCTTCCCCAACTATTTCCAAGATGTATTCAATGTATGAACTCAGTGTATTAAACTTCCTACTACTTTACAGTAGTAGCATTACTGATACACTTGGGTGTAAATCTCTCTCAGTCCTGTATGTAATAAAGATGAGTAAAGGTATATACAAGTGTGGGGTAAAATCTGAAAGCCCAGAACTTCAGAGTTAAGTATGATTTTTTCTTTTTTTATGGGATTGAGCCCATAACATTTAACAAAACCCAAATAATCTTTTCTTCCTCCAAGGGAGACAGCAAACCAGAAAGAAACTCAAAAAGTCAGTCTCAAGCTAAGATTTGATATGACAAGTTTAAGCCTCAAATTATTACACTTTTAATGTCCGAATTGCAAATACATGGGGAAAAAAATTTTCAAGCAGTTGCTGAAAAATTTCTTACAGCAGTTGCTGAGAGAAAAGCAGCAAAAAGGTCTTTTCCCAGTATTTGAGAACTATCTTTACAGTTACAGAAATTCACTGTGAAGGGATCATATGCTTGACCATATTTTGCCATAATAGCTTCTAATATGTGGAACAACTTTTAGGCAATGGAGCATAAACTATAGCAGCTTAGAAACTCCTCAATATTACTTTGGGCCTGACTTTCTCTTTAATTAGGACACCTGGCAAGGCTATCTATTAATCTGGCATATATTGATTGTAATTCTCTTTAGACATATCTTGCTAAATACAAAATAAATAATGACAACATCTCCTGGTAGGAATAAGTATTTGGACTAACCAAGATGAAGTGATTTAACTCAATAAGGTTACTACACCTGCAGAGTATGCTGAGGAAAAGCTAGACAAATGAGAAAAACACAAACTTTGCTTAATACTGAATATTGTGAGTTTACTATTTTTTTTTTCATTCTCATAAAATAAGTTTTATTGCCCAACCTCTGCTTCCTTCTGAGAGGCTTCCCTCAAAACAGTGTCTCTCTGCTACTTCAGGTAGCAGAGCATAACCCAGGCATGGAGATGAACTGTTCTCACTGGGGAATGGGTTAAGTGAACAGAGTGCTAACATGATAAATCAAAGGGAATCATTATTGCCAGCTAGAAAAACAGCTGCTTTATTTATTAACACTATTTATGACTAGATTTTTTTATCATGGCATCTGCACAAAAAAAATTTCATTGATACACTTACTTGTAAATGATCACCTTTGGAGAATTCACATTTGTGGGACCCAGTGGTTTCAACATAGGCTAAATAGAAAACTAAGCTCCACTGGGCATTTCAGATGAGGTTTTCATAGCTGGAAGATATCCTGTTTGCAGGAACTGCTTAAGTTCAGTGTGATAGGAGGATCATGAGTCACCTGCGCTCTCAGTGCAGCCCCTCATAGGCAAGACAGGAATATTCAGCAACTATCGATGCACACCTATGTACACAAGCTTCCCTCACCTGTGGTTGCTCACTACCAACAGCACGGTTCGACGGGGTCACTCAGCAAGCCAAGAGTTACCATGCTCATTCAAAACTTGGTCTGAAACCTGGAGAGAGAATTCATAGCCCTGGTGGCTACAGACTGGAAAATGTTATCTGATAAACTAGGTTGTTAGGAAAAGATATTTGACATCAGACAAGGTGACTAGCATCACTTTCTTCAGTTCAAGTCAGCCCATAGCATGGCCATTTTTCTAGAGCACAGAGAGAATGCAACCAGCCTATATCTCTCAGAAGACTCCTCGCATACTCTGATACCTCCTCCTCGTTTATCTCACTCTCAGGGGCTCCAGCTCCTCGCCACATTTCCAGATACAGTCCTCTATATACCAACATTCTGATTTTGTCCCCTCTGTGGTGTCTAATCCACATAATACAGTGCTGAAAAAAATTATCATCACAATCGTGCAAAATTTATACAAGATGTGACATACACAGAATACACATTGAATGTGGTTTTACTATTCATATGTGGCTAGAATACAAATTCTTTTTCTGGGAGTGGGAAGAGGAAAGGAACAGACTCTTCACACCCACTCTGCATATTTCTGGTTTGCTTCTGATTTGGTGCAAATTAATGAATATTAAATTGGTTCCAGTCACTCAGGAAATTTTTATTCAAAAATTATAAAACCAGACAAAGTAAAAAATACCATTTTCTGTTTGCTTACCTGGAACACCATGGTGAGCAGGTTTCCTATTCAACTGGGTGACCTTTTGGTATGTTTTTTTCAGGTTTTTTGTTTTGGTTTGGTTTTGGCAAACAAGTAGTCTTCAGTGTTTTTACAGCAGTGGCTATTACAGAAACTATGTCTCTTGCACTTCTTATCTTGGAGGGTGGACAAAATAAACAAACTGAAAATAATACTACAATGAACATTAAATGATGAATGGCTTACAGTACAAAAAACAGTGTAAAAAGGAAGACAAGTTTAAATATTGTTGTGTATGAAAGGGATGAAAATAATACAAGGATGAGAATAAGTAAAATGATAGGCTGGAACATCTGGGAAAGTAAATACAAAGACAAAGAGAACAGTCAATTAATGGATAGCAAATCCAGAGTTTCAACAAAATAAATAGTGAATCAGACTATGCTTGTGGAGGGACTAAGTGTCCATCTCCCATTGACTTCAGTAGGAGTTCTGCATGGTCAAGCCCTGAAATATCCAATTTAATTATTGCTGTCACTTGTTTTGAGAAAATACTAATTAGTTTGCTTTAAATTTGTATAGGCCCATGCAGTGCTCTGCCTTTAAGCTAATGGGAGCTCTACAAGCTCAGCGATTGCCAGATCAGAAAGTGAGCATGCTAAATGCCGTTTCTGTTTGATTTCATGCAATACATGTAGAGTAATTGATTAGCTTTAAACTCACTGCGTCTGTGACTTTCTGATACAAGGAAACAAAAGACTAATTAGTCAGCATAGGAATAAGAAATAATAGCTTTCAGCTTTACCTTGCAACTACTTCAACTGTAAACTAGCAGGACAGCACAAAGTAAATCAACACAGCAAGAGACTTACTAAAACATTGGATAATATCATGAGCAATAACAAGATTTGCCAACTATAGCAATTGCATGATAAGATAAGGGTAGGTAATTTTCATTTTTCATGGCAAAAGATCTTGAGTCAGCAAGGAATTTGCTCCCCAAAACCTCTCTGGAACAATTCTGCATAGAAATGAACTACAGAAAAGATAGTTATCACTGCTGCATTTAAACAGTGATGTATAGGCCTTCAACAAGATACAATCAGTTACAGCAATTCCAATATTCACACTACCATGTGGCTCTGTGACCCTGTAAAAGTAGATTTGCATGGTTTATTTTTCTCTGTGGTTTGTCATATTCCCTATAATTTGGGGAATTTAATGTTTCCTCCTGTTTAAAATTAGTAAGATTTTCTTTTTATTCATTTAGTAGGAATCCAACCACTAAGAAATCAATCAAGTTAATTTATGTGCCAAAAATACTGTCTGCACTGCCTTTACTGGCAATGAAGGCACAACTCTGGCAAATGCAGTTGCAAAGCCAGAAAGGAGTAAAACCTCCTAGATCATAATTCATTTACATTTTCAGGAGACCAGACATACTCACAAACAACCCCATTGGTAGAACAAGGTTTCATATCACCAAATGAGGATTTAAAATAATTTAAGAAATAACAATTTTTGTCCACTGTCTAGAATAAAGAATTTTCATGTGCCATACATCCAATTTGAGGCTTAATTCACTTGGCAGAGCCTTTTTACCTGTAGGCCGTAATAAGTAAAAGTCTACCTGACTCACTGACAAAGGTTCATCTGCACTTCGATCATCAGAAGACTTTGGAACCTCGAGTCTGTCGATGAAAGCCTGGAGCTCTTTCCTGAAGGCCTTCATCTGTGCATTGATCCGGTAAAGAAGCTCATGTTCGCGTATTCTGCTGCCATCGTCTTCCTCATCCATCAGTCCAAAGAGGTCCCCATTAGCTACATAAATTCTCGCCTCTGTTATGATGGTGCTCGTGTCAGAAATTAAGCGATCTATCGTCTTGCCCAGCCGCTCAGCTTCAGAGCGAATGTCTTTCATCTGCTGCCTGTCAGTGAAGCTTTTTTGCCACCCAGATGGTGTCGGATAAAAAGACCTCGTGGGTGTCAGGCACCGAATGTTACGCACTTCTTCCGAGTCGCTTTCCCCACCGATAGGGCCTTCCCTTTTGCGGTGAGGGGGGCGGGAATCATCATCGCTTTCTTTTTTTCCTGCATCACTTTCTGCATCACTGTCTCTGGGACTGCCACGGATCCCCAAATGAGAGGCCAAGTCATAGCGCTGCATGTTGGACATTAAGACTCTGTTCTCATACTGGAGTTGCATGACTTTGCCACTCAGCTCATTGATCTGCATTCGTGCAGCTTTTAGTTCCTCCTGTAATGCTTCTGTCTTGGCATTATCATGATGCCTAGAGCTCTCATGGGCCCCCGACTTGTACTTGTATTTGTTCAGCTCAGCTGTTATGCGCTTGTTTTGTTCTTCCAAATCAGCTAAGTTTCTCCTCAGCAATTCTGTTTCATCTTCTACTAGCTGCAAATGCTGTCGTAATTCTGAAAGGGATTCACTCTGCTCTCCCAGGAGTGGATTAGCGGTCCCTGAGAAATCATCTCCTCTTAAATCATCAAGCTCTGCTTTCAGACCCCTATTTTCTACTTCTAGTTCTACTATTTTCCTCCCAAGAATGTTAGCTTCCTCCTCCACAAGTCTCAATCGAAGCTTGAGTTCAGCTTCTCTTGTGGTAGGTGGCCCACCTGCTTCACCTTTTGGCAAGGGACTGTCCAAATCCCCATAAAATGATCGATATTTTTGCAGCTCATGTTCAAATCTGTCTTTCTCTTTATCGATCTTAGCCATCTTCTTCCTCATCAAGGCTGCTTCTTCTTTGACAAACTGTAGCTGGCATTTCAGGTCTTCATTGTCCTCCTTAGAAAAAAGAGAAAGTGGTATTTGAAGAAACATGATGTAAAACAGGAGACCTCCAGTGGATGGTCTTAAATTACAAGATTAACAATCATAGGTACATTCTTTAGATACTAAGAGATTTTCCTGAAATCATTTTTTCACTGATCATAAATCAAAGAGAGGGAAATAAATACTTAAATTTAAAAGAGGGGAAAAAACTGTTTTCCTCACAACTAAAGTTTGCACAGTCCCCAGAAAGTATGTTGCAGACGGGGGGGCTTGTAAAAAATCCTTGCATATTCTAGGCTTACAACACTGTAATAGACTTCACAGTGTTCAAGTCATAAAGTCAGCACACAAAGGGTATATAATCTTGTTACACTGGTGCTCCCATTTAATTATTTTGCCTAAAATATAGAGTACATGACAGCTGGTGCATTCTGTTGCAGCACCAGCAGTTTGTTTAGTTGGTCCTTGACATAGTGTTGCCTGACTGCAGATCTAGGGTAAGAGCTCTTCGTTTCACAACACACAGGAAAACAAAGGGCAAAGCAAACAAGCAAGCAAAGTGCAAATCTACAAATCAGGTACGTCATTTCCATAGTGTCCCTGAAGTCTCCACATGAGAATCCAGGCTACAGCTATTACAGCATACCTCTGTTGGTGTCTGCTGTGACTTTTTTTCTGATTTTGGTATGTCTTTGCTTCCTCTTCTTTTCAGCGATTGCTGCAACAACAACAAAATGAGACGCACTGAATATTTTGCTAAAGAGGTATATAATTAATATTTCATCCATTTTAAAACATAGCAAGTCAAATGCAATTATAAAGGAATTAATTTCTTGTAATCCTTGAGGTACCAAATACAGAGGGGAGACACAGCTGCCCAAAAATGACACAGCAATGTTATACAAGTATTGGTTTAATCAGTCTGTTACCTTTTTTATCCAACACGTTTTAAGACTAGTGCATAATGATTGTTTAACACATAGTGAGAGAGGTAAGAAAGCAGGTATTCCAAATGGTAACTTACAGATGGGAAAACTGAGGCAAGCAGTGAAACCCAGCTTGCTCATTTGATATTAGCCCTAACGGGACCAAGGCACTTAAAGATGCATCTAACCAGGCATGTAGCCTTAGCTTTTGTGGTAGGCAAGCTATATAAAACAGTGTCACTGAGATCCCATCAGCTGACTTGAGTTTACATCTACAAGCACACCTTTCTCTGTCCCACGCACAGGCTTGTATTTGGTCACAACTCTGTAGGTGTACATTGTAGACAAACTCCGTGCAGACAAACTCACACATAGATCTTGTCGCTAAGCTAGTTCTGTTTTCAGAGCATATTCAAGTAAATACAATTTAAAACTGCTGAGACTACAAAGTCCTAGTGAGAAAGCAAGCATATCAGACTAAGAGCAACACTATGCAAACACAGGTATGCACCACCATGTGTGCAAGCTTCTTTGGTGTCTTCTGATCTGCTATGTAGACAAAGTGAGTAAAACTCCTGCTTTTAGAGCAGGATGCACTGGGATCAAAGCATACTAGCATATCCAGTAAGAATCTCGTAACTGCTGATAACGTTTGTTAGTGGGCAAGTGGTAGCAGTGGAAAACAACTGCAACCGGATGGTGTCAACACTCAATATACACATCAAGAAAACAGCAGGAGAGAGAAAAGCAAGTGAAAGAACATGTTAATACATAACATCTCACTTGCAGCTGTTCCCAATTTTTATGGTCCCTAGGTAAAACATAGGCCCTTAGGCAGGGCAGCAATACAACCAACACCATCTCTCTGAGATTATTCTCTGGTAAAAGGACCCTTTGTGCCACTGAGAAACATGCATTTCCTTGCACCAGCCAGGAGAGAATCCAGCTGTACCCAAAAGCCATGCAGATCCACACAGTGGGAATGAAAATATGTTCATACTCAAGGAACAGAGTAAAGTGGGTGAGTATGCTGTACAGAATAATCTTGTGCACAATTCCCCTGCTGGTACCAATGGTTCCTTTTCTTCTGCAGATCATACCCATAAAAAATACTAAGCTCATGGACTGCTCACTCCAAAGGAACAGTCAATGCCATGGAAATGAATCATATATAAATCTGAGCAATCTCAAGAAATGATTTCTCATAAGGCCTTCAGCTGAAATCTGCTATAGAGTTATGCGAATTAAGAAAAATTACTTCAGATTCAAAATCAGAACTAAAATTCACAGATGGGTCCACCAAGAACCAGAATTAAAATTTTTGTTCCTCTTGCAGAAACCTTGAATGTTCTCAGTAGACAATAAAACAGTCAAAGATCATTAGCTGTGATAGCTAGATAGCTGTGAACCACAGGCTTCTAAAGGAATACAGAAAAGACACAAAAAATAGTTAAATCACTTTTTCATTTTAAATATAAAGCCAACAACTTTGGGATCCTGCCTACAAATAAAATTATTCTTCTCCAAGGTCACACATCAGTTACCCTATTGCAGAAATGGTATATGCATGTGGAGGGTTTTTTTTTGTTGTTTATAAAGCATGAAACTTTCAGAAGAACAGCTTCCTCCTCTGTATTATCATTAATTATACCACTATGCATTATCACTATGAAAAAACCCTTTTCAAATCAGTTAGCATGGCAAACTTCTTGTTGCTCCAGAGTCTTCCCAATACCAGCCACCGATAAAATAACTAAGGGATAGTTAAACTATACTTCTGTTTGATTACCTAAATGCCTTCTATTCACCCTGCTGAGCTCAGCGCCTCTCCAGATATAATGAGATTCTGAAATGCTGAGCTGCAACTTCTTCTATACGCTACAACTTGTCAGAAGATAAGAAATACATGAAAAGTTTTCCACGACAAAAAAAGAAAAAAGAGAAACTACAGAGAGTAAAAAGTGTTTTTCTAGGTTTGACATAAAACAAAAAATCTGCTTTTCTCCTTTCTCTCTCTACCTTTTGTGTTCCTTTTGGTAGTCAGGATAGCAACATTTTAATTAGAACAGTAGTTGTGACTATGTAATGACTAGGCACTACTTTCTACTCTGCTTTACTTAAATTACAACAAACCATCTACGGAGCTTGCTTTATTCACCAATTAAATGATGGTGTTTAGCAACAAAATTTTATAGTAAAAAACAACGAAGAACATGTGCAAGTCAATTAGCAGGACGATTTGGGTAAGTGGATTAGGCCCAGCTGGAACTGGTGTCATCTGTTTTCTTACCAAAAACACCATGAGACAATTTCTGATCACTAGAAGTTAAGATCTCACTTGCACATCTCAGCTGACAGATGACATCTGCAAAATCACAGTGCTCCGTAACATCATGTTAGGTCACTGAAGCAACACTCATACTGAACAAAGAATGCCATACCCTGCTATAAATAATAATCATTGAGAGTTTTTTCAGAGGTACAGTTTACAGTGGCTACTCTATTATTTCTCTCAAACCTCGTACTAGTCCACTCTTCCAATTTTTAACATTAAATAATGTATTGCTGCTAATGAAAGGAAATTCAAAGCAAAATGCAAAAAGAAAAAAAAAAGTTCAAAACATATGACAAAACCAAAAAAAGCAACCCAGATAGGATTCTGCAAATGAATCTTCATACTATACCTGTGACTGGACAGTATTAAAACTGCATGTTGCTTGTTTTGACATACTAACAAATGCTAAACAGGGTGAGTGATTCAGCCACCTTCATGTACAAAACCTGTTCAAAAATTTTTGTGTTAGATCACCTTTTAATATAATGCACCACTTGGTCCTTTTCCCACATCACAGTGTACCACAAAGCATACTGTAGTGCCCCTAAAAGACACCTCTGCCATTTTCTCAACTGTGGCAAAAAAAATTGCCCCTTGTATTCTAGAATTGGCTTTCAGAGTGTGTTGTGAAGGATAATTTGGGGCAGAGATAATTTTTCTTCCATATAATTTAAAAAATCATATTCAATTCACTCTAATTATTATGAGTTAAAAAAAGACAAAGATAAAGTAAGAAACATAAGACTGCTTTTGCACTATCTATCAGTAATGCTTACCAGACAGCGTTACAGTTTTAATAACCTTGAACAAAGTTATTCATCTGCAGGAGAAAAGAATAAGCAAAAAATGCATATAGAACTGTTTCTACAATGGGGAGTTTGCTAAACTGCTCAAGTACTAATGAAATATTTCAACAGCACAGGGGATAATAAGACCAGCCACTATGGCAGGTATCATTGTATTGTATACTCTCTGCTTACCTCTGAAAGACTAGAAGGTAAAAGGAGGTTTGACCTGACTATTCTAGAATTCATTGTAGCCAGCACACATGGATCTTCATGTGCGTTCTGTCAACGCTGTTTCCACAATTTAGATAGGACCACAGGTAACGTTCATATTATATGCATACCAGATCCCATGCAATGGGCAATTCTGTTGTGATGTTCAGTAGCATCAATTCTCCAGTGACCTTTGCTGGAGTTTATCCAATGTCCTGCTAGAGATGCTCAGCACTTCTCAAGACCAGATGGTATAATCCTTTTCTTGCCAGCCCTACACCGCAAGCCAAATGTGCAGTCCTAACAACACCTGTGATGCTCAGGTGTAAAGACCTGAAATCTACTCTGAGAGTAACACAATGCAGAAATTAGCATCACACCCCACTGAGTAGGAAAGCTGTAAAATGAACTCAAATTCTTGCTACCTGATCCTAAGCTACAGTAAATCTCTCAGCAATTAATAAAGAAACCCTAAGCAAAACATACCAAGATATTTCAAGATGCTTAGGTTTGATTATTTCCAGCCTGATCTGGGGGTATATGATCTAAAAATCTATGTAGGCAACCACAGGAGGAATTCCTGACACATAAAGGCATTTATGGGTGCACAGAGTCCCCATAACAGCCCTTTATCCTCCTCACGGAGCAGGCTAAGGCAAAGGGCATGCAGCTTCTTGAACCTCCACAGCTGCAACCAAACCTTCTGACCTGCACGCTACTGTACTGTACACACTGTCAGTTAGCTGCCTCCCAACTGCTGTGACAGGTCTGTAGACCTTTCAAAAATCAGAGCAAACCTAACACCATCTTTACAGTCTTGAAAAGTTGCTGAATATTAAACAACTTTTAAGCTGCACAGCCTTGCCTGTCTGGCACAGAGAAGGGACCAGGGGAATGAAAATTTGCCCTAAGACACTCTCTGCAGTTTCTCTTCAGTCAATATCATGAAGCTGGATCAAACAGATGCAAGACCAATTTTTTTTTAGTTGACTGCAACCAACCCTAATGCAATGTATTAGAATATGTATTAAAAAGTAAATGGACACCATCCATGTTGGCAAATTGAAAATGCATATTCTACTCCAAAAAAAATCTTTGTTTTTAAAATCTCTCCCTTATTCTGCAACTCTTATCAGTGCAATTTGCCAGCAACCAACTCAAGATGCTGGTTTTGTCTGTCACTGGCACACGTACATAGAATAATACAACCCTTTACTCCTTCCACCCTTCTTCAAGGGCAGGAAGAGTCCTGAGTATTTCAGTATTCTACTTGCTTGGAAAATTAAGGCAGGAAAGAAAAAGCAGGGGATAAGTGAAACATGAAGCAGCACAGTATCCCTGTCCAAGAAACATAATCCTACTAGTTCTATCAATGCTGTCTTCATATTAAAACTGGCATATTTGAAGACACTGCTGAGGAACGATACTAAATGAAAGCAATCTTTGTTACTTCACCATG